GAAGGAAACTTTATAGATCAACATTTTGGGAGGCGAGAGGAGGGAGTGTTGCTTTCTCTTTATGACTCTTAAAATAGCAAATTCACCCCAAGGACAGATGTGTACAAAAGAGAACAAAAATGTCATTCTTAGTTCTACAAAGACATGTCTACCCTACTTACCAAAGGGGCACCTTTGAGAATTTTCCAATAATACATTAGCGTAAGTTGATCCCACTGGCAAGAAGTCTGAAGTGTGCAGCACAAACCTATTGATTGCTAGCCGTGGACAGATTTTTGACCAGTACAAAATGAAACTGGCAATAGTTCAAGGAATTGGAGACCCTTCAAAGCCTAATACAGCATGTTTCCTTTCACAGGCAGAACTACGCGCAGTAAAAATGGCAAGGGGGTATACTTAGAACTTGTGCATCACATGTTCTGATGCACTCCACTTACTAATGAAGGTGGAAAACTAAAAGTAATATGCTAGGAGAAAGACTGGGTGCTGTGGCAGCACTCATACCGTGTTGTCCCAAAACAGGCTAATGTATTGCCACATGACAAAACAGAGCATGTTCAGAGATTCCTCCCCACTTCCAGGTATTCTTACTAGATATAAACAACACTTTTACCATAGTTAAAGAGGAGGAAATTGCAGAGCATCATATAAGAATCAATAACACTTATCCGGTGTACCTTAAGACTTTCTTACAAGAATCATTATAACCTATTGAACGTATGGCTGCTGAAATATGATAGCTATGTAACATGACTAAATATAGGGATTATGTTTGAATTGTTTTATGTATTATTCAACACCAAGAAATCTAGTCTCTGATAAAATATGCATAAGAAAACTATTCCCATCCATTCCTGTCTGCTCATCAATGCTGCACTCTCTGTGAATACAACATATAGAAAGCTTGGTACTGTGCTGGAGGAAAATTAAATCCCCACATATGCCAGCTGAGATCAAGTAAACAGCCTGCTTACAGACACAAATGGGTTTTTTCCATGCTCTTCTCGACTTTTGCTCTATCTAACCAAGAGCTTCGTAATCCTATCTAAATCTCACTGGTCAATTAAGTTTAGAACATTTTAAATCGTTAGTAGTAAGAACAGCCTATTTTTGCACCATAAGGAAACGGATGTCCCTCATGACAGTGTATCACTGTTTTCTGAATTCTCTGTATTATGCTTACTATTATTTTTACATAAAGTCCCTATCTAATATATTCCATGTAAAATACTCCCTGCCATCCCTCTCCTCCAGTCCCCTAACACAGAAGTTTTTAATTGAAGGGCGTACTGTATGATCTGTTTACCAATCACTTCCTTGCTCTTGTTTTCACACTCCTCATCCTCTACTGATCTCAGGTTTTCTTTTGGCTCACCTGGAATCATGATTTCATTTATTTTTTAATTAATTAATTAATTAATTTAGTGAATACCCTTAATTTATAAAACCGGCTTTTGAATCTGAACCTCTCTGAGATACATTAGATATTGTTGATTTATACAAGAACAAAAATGCTTTCTGCTGGATAAAATGCACATTAACAGGGTGGATAAAAATAAATGATTTTTAAAAAATCGGATTTTTTTATTTAAATTTGAATTTTTTTGATAAAATGCTTTTTGAGGAAAAAATCTATCTAAAGATGGTTTTAATTAAGATATCTTTGAGCTATAATGTATCTCATCATGGAATAGGGATTATAAATTCTAATTCTATAGTATGGGACAATATATTCATGTAGTATTTAAGAACAGTTTTGTAAATGAAGTTCCAATAGTTCATGGATTAGGGACTCAATCTTATGGGGTTCCAGGGGCTTCTGTATACATTATTTAGGTTAATCTTTCTATCTACCCAATGGGACTCAGTGCTCAGTCCAGAAGATACCATCAGAGATGCTTAGTTTTGCAGTTTTCAAACTGTGGATTTGTCTCTCCAGAGATAACATGCTTGTTAACAGCAAAAATGTTTTAAGTAAATAAATAATATATAGAGGTGACGAACAACTAGGGTTACCATACGTCCGGATTTTCCCGGACATGTCCGGTTTTTTGGTCCTCAAATCCCCGTCCGGGGGGAATTGCCAAAAAGCCGAACATGTCCGGGAAAATACTCCCAGCTTTGTTTTGCCATCATCCCTGCCCCAGTCCCCAGCTTACCTTAGAGCGGCTCCGGCAGGCTGCGAGCTGCAGGTGGATTCCCCTGCGGCAGCGGCGGCAGCTGCTGCTGCTCCCCCCAGACACCTCAGCTCTGTGCAGCTGAAGAGCCGAGCTGCCCGAGCGCTACCGGCTTCACGGTTTGCGGGGCAGCCCCCAGACCTCCAGACCCTGCGCTCCCGGCCGGGCGCTTCCCCAGCTCAGCCAGAGCCCGGGAGGGGAAGCGCCCGGACGGGGGCGCAGGGTCTGAAGGTCTGGGGGCTGCCCGGCAAACCATGAAGCCAGTAGCGCTCAGGCAGCTGTTTCGCGTGGCTGGGAGGGAGGAGGGGGAATGCAGGGCGCTCAGGGGAGGGGGCGGAGTTGGGGCGGGGACTTTGGGGAAGGGGC